ATAATAATATCAAGTTCCAAAAAATAATTTACATTTCTATCACAACATCTTCCCCCCATATAACATGAGCATATTCTTATAATATTTAGTTTATACTTATTTTACACATGCAATTGACTAAATCGCCTTTTTGAATTTACAGTCATCAGTTTTTATAACAAGCATGTGGCCAATAAAATAAGTTCTTTGAGCTATGCTAATACATAATGCAAAGCGATCAGGAAGATTAAGTCTTCATTATTGTAGATCATGACATTAAATCTCATTATAATGATTAGGTGAACGCTTAAATGAAATGTAAATAATAAATAAATATTTTTTCAATAGTTATAATTGATTTTTAATATCATAGTATACTATTATGTTAATCAAGTTTTAAATTTTTTTAATTTTGAAAAATCTCATAAACCGTTCATATTTTCAAATGCATGAATCACATACATTTTTCGAGAATAATATTATATGAAACGTTCCGCATTCTATTGTTGTACGCTGCGTTGTGAACTACCTACTTAAGAAGAATTTCTCACTACCATCGTAAATATCTCCACACAGGGAGTGAGATTATAAATATATATATATAGTGATAGAGAGAGAGAGAGAAAATATACGTCATCGCATCATCAGCCGAAATACTCGTCTTCTTACAACTCCCCGCTGTCATCGCTCCGCGTGTACAGCTAAGTAGACAGGATTAGATGAAAACAACAACAAGAACCAAGACGACGACGATAAACGAATGAATAATAAATGTGCTTCTCGATTCCTCGCAGGGACCCCCATCATCGACTAGAAAATCGAGGGATTTATTATGTGTGTGTGTGTGTGTGTTAAATTCTCCACAAGAGAAAATCGGAGAATGGAAGAGGTATATCGGTGAACATAATATATAGTATAAAAGAGTGATGGTGGTGGGTGGGAGGGCAGCAGATACACAACTTTTTGGGGTAGAGCTGGGTATTTTAGTATTTCACTGCCATGTGCTCATTTAGGGGTAAGACGAAAAACGATCCGACGATGACGATGAAGACCTTGTTTGCCATTGACGACGTCTTTAATCGGTTTATATAATAAATATATATATATATATTGTCGAAGCTGGAAAGCTGGAGAAAGAGGAGAAATTTGATATACCTTGGACCCAGCTAAATCCACGCTGATAATTTTGGACGTCGTTTTTATTTCTTTCTCTCACTGCGCAACAGTATCTATTATATAGTATTGGGTAATATTCGATAAGGTATACGGCATACGCACTGTCATAGCACTGTGGCACTGGTAATGTTAATGTTTAATTCACATTCAGAATGTCTTATGATAATATATAAACCGTTATCATCGTCATACACATAATTTTCAGCACAAGTTTTAGTTTATTTCAGACAACCAATTATTTTCCATTATGTAAATTCAAATTTGTACAACTAGCAGTCATAGACGCGCTAAACACAAATCAAACGAATATAATTTTCAATAATAAACCACAACTTTTAAATATGTATATATTTAAACGCTGTTTATACTCGTATATCGTATATTTTATATTAGTTTCAAATTTCAATGTAAGATTACGCTACTTACTACTAAAAATTTTATTATACTCTGAAAATTGTATGTGACCATTCTTAGATTTAAAATCTTTAAATATATACTACATCCGATTTTCATGAAATTGCTCTGTTTAATTTGTTGTAATTTAGGTTTAAATTTACCACTATTTTTTTTCTTGTGTATGAAATAAATCTTCAAGAAAATATTGACCACTTTTTTTTAAGACCTACTTTTTAAAATTAAATATATCATATATCTTATAATATTATTGTAACATGCAAAGATACTCTCAGAATTTATGCGATCATTTATCTTTATTTTTAAAACCATAACAATGTATTCAACATTAGGTACTATTATACTAAGAAATAAGTAAAATATTAAAATAACACGGCGTATTATATAGATTATATCAGTACACAGTCAGTTAGATATTTTGTAAAAACGTAAATTATTTAACTATTATTTAACTATTATTTTGGTAATTTTTTTTTATTTTTTTTTATAAGTTATCTATATTTTACACAAAACTTTTTTAATAAATACTCATTACACTGTAATATTTATTTTTATTCTATTGAACATATGAGAATAAAGTCAGTGATGCAAATTCTGATATTCTATTCAACACAATATTACATTCCAGAAATGTTAAATCTAAGTAATCCATAACGGCTTAACTGATTAAATTAAGTGAAACACTGGTACCAAGCAAATATAAAAACGACTATTTTTATTGATATACGTGATAGTTTGATACATTATAACTTCATTTTTATTACCTAAATAAAGTATGACGTTATATATTTTTTTCATAAAAAATCACAATTTATAATATTGTAATCACACCGATGTTATTGTATATTAATAATATAAACGATATTAGCTATATTATGTAAAAATTGGCTACTATTATAAGAAAGAGAAGCTAACTTAATAACTTAAAATTATAAATCATTTTACAAAACGCTCATAGTTATTTTTTACCACATAGTTAATCTATTTAAAATCATAAAAATTGAAAACTACGGTGTATTTAAAAATTGATAAAAATTTATTTTAAGTCTTTAAAAACTGAAAATTGATAACATTTTCATTGTGATTTATTTTTTTAGCAATTTAAAATAAACGTAAGTCCTTCTTACCATCGTAATTCTATTTATTATATTAAAGTTTGAATAATGTGATTCTTGTCTTTATTTATTTATTTTTTTTTTTATGCTACTATATAACCAGCCACTTATGTCTAGATATTTAATTAAGAATAATTTGTTGTTCTTATCGAAAATCATTAATATTAAATTTCAACTATTACGCTAAAATAGGAATATTGACAGCGATCCACTTGATTTTAATTTTTTTTAAGGTTAAGTATGATCTAGTGTCTTTTGTATAACGCATTAACTATATTATGTTTATCAAAATTAATTAATTTTTATAAAGTAGTTCGGTGCGTAGAATATGTATGCACTACATTTCTAATGAGAATGTAACATAAAATAAATAATTACTTAAAAAATATGACCATTCTAAAATGTTTTTAGTGTTTTTACACCACACTAAATACTCAACTTTAAATGTGAAACATAGGTACATTGATTAATGATTAATATACCTATAATATAATAACAACCCATTAGTAAATTTAATACTTAAAATAAATAAACTTTAATCAGTAAAGTATGATTAGAACGAATCAATAAAGAAAAAAATGGTTCAACGAATAATTTGATTATTTTAAAATGTGAAACAACTTAAAATTAATTTAAATACAATTATAAAATGGTGTATTTGTGTTTTATATTGTGCCAACAATTTAGTGTGAAATAAACTTAACATACTATAATCGAAAAGGTGCTTTAGAAGAAAACAATTTTACAAATATTAGAAAACTAATGTACCTTTTTTCTGTTTTCTCAACACTTGATAAAATATAAATCAGTGGACATTTATGTTTTGGAATTATTATACTTGAAACATTAATAAAATTTTTATTTTTATTATAATAATGTCGAAAAAATGCAGTCATACTGTAGTTAACAAAAGCTGATAATAATTTATTATATTATAGTATATTTATATTATTCAGAATATTTTTAGAATAATAAAGATAAGCTAAGATCCTATTTGTGTTCAAATTCTTCTTGTTATGTACCGATAGTAATATATTTTTTATTTTATTTTTTTTTTTTTTTAATTAGTCGAACCAATAAAGAATTCTTTTGATCTCAAAGAAATTTAAAATAAATGTAACAAAATTAATAGTTTAAAATGTATGTCTTATTGCCATGTACAATGATTATATTTATAATTAATATATAATTTTAATGTAATCGTAATTTGTTTTTATCTCTTTTTATATATATATATATATAAATAAAATCACTATTAAAGATAAAAATGGAAGGTATTTTTTTAATTTTTAACGACTATCTATCATTTATTAACTTTTCGGAAGGAATTATGGATAATGACTAGGTATTAAAAATCCTTGTAATTTAAAATTAATAGGAATTAGTCATTTTTAATAGTCAAAATTCTAAATATTAATTAGTTGTAAATCTATTGACCGTCACGTAGTACTAAAGGTAATACGTAATACGGATAAAATAATTAGTAAAAACAATACGAGAAACTTGTAAATCAGCTTTTTTCTAAGATATAACCAATAAATGTGTTAAAATAATTCAGTGCTATCGTGAATTTTTTTCACGTTGAAAGTCGACCGTTGTTTTATTTGAATTTATGCGCGTTTGGAGTTTTAATTTTTTTTTTTTACTTTATAGCCTACGAGTAATTACGTAATATAAACACTATTATGATTACAATTCATCTAATATCTATCTACGATTAATTTTATCATTGTCTAATTTTTACTTAACTACGTTGTATTAGAAAAAATAACACTCCACTATTATAAACAAAAATGTCAAAGCATATTATATTAGTAATATGACAATATTTTTTAAATATATTTTTTAATAATACACTTTGTGTACAAAAGAAATATGAGTATGCGATCGAGCAGCAGTCGGAGTAATGTACCAACACGCGAGTATTTAATATGCGTGCCACAAAATAACTTTTACGATGTGCAGACGAATATATATATATAAGTACGAGGTAATAAGAATAACTACTATATAGGTAAAATATTATGATAAAGATAACGGAATTTTCTCGTCATCAAAGCGCATGGAAAATTCAGATATCGAGGCACCACAAAATGTTTAATTTATCTAGCTGAATTAAAAAAAAAAAAAACACTGAACAAAATTTTCACGCTTATACACGCGTTGATGACAACGAAAACGAACATTTAATAAAATTATAACAACTATGTGTCCGGTCAATTGGCAAAACACAATAATATTAACTCGTTTTGTGTTCGCGCACGCGTAGAATCGTATTTATTATGCATAAATGCTGCGTATATCATTTGTCATTACCTCTATTCCGGCGTATCGTCCGATCAGCGTTTAAGGATAACGATTGCCGATTTACGTTATGCGTGTGCGACGACCGATGACGTGTGATACAACCGTCGAGTACAATATTATTATTATCACGATTATCGTTATAATTATTATTATTATTATTATTATTGTTTTTGTTGTACCTGCACAGATATATTATTATTCGGTCGCGTGCGCGTGTGTGCGGCGGAATTGACGGCCGAGGATCGCTGCGGTGAGACGACTGTTCCTGGGCCGGAGAGTGATGGTGTTGCCGGATGCCGCTTCCGCCGCCGACTGTCGTCGCCGCATCGTGACGGTCATGAGCGGCGGCGGTGGTGACCGTGTCGCCGACGTGCTGGCTCGGCCGGCCGGCGAATCGCCGAAAACGCCAGCGCGCGCCAAAAGACGATTGCGACCGCCTCCCGTCTTCGATGACGCCCACCGCGGGCGTCTGAGTTTTCCGCACGCACACACGGACACCCATCGCCACCCCCCCGAAACTCACTCCCGCCGCCTATACCTCGCGCACCCCACACGGCCCCCACACCACCACCACGTCAACCCACATGCCGCCGCCAACAGTCGATCGTCATAATCGCGGCCGTCTTCAAAGACGGTTAGGTATACGATTTAGATATTGTTACATATTATTACGTCATACTATAATATGTGAACGAGGTATATTGACGTGTTCAGATTGATGTTGGAAATAGGGCACCGGGTTATTGAGTTCCGAACGAACAATAAAAGTAAACGTATCTACGTACTGTTCTGGTAGTTCCAAAAAACGTAAATTCGATTTTTTTTTTTTTTTTTTTTGGTGGGAGGGGGAGAAGGTGAGTTTTATTTGAACGCATCCGTGATCCTCTTTCCCCCGAAGACTATTGTCTTTAACGGTTTAAACAGTTTTTTTTACATCTTTCAAGACTCTTACGCCACGTTTTGTTGAAAATACAAACTTGCAGTATTCAAAACATCAAATTGTATAATACTTACAGACTTACAGTGCATGTATTAATACTAAAAAATTGGATGGTATAAGTCTATAAGTAGTAAAAATTACTTAGAAAAAAGTAAATTATTTTTATGATTTAATATGCCTAATGTTTTAATCCAAACATATTTTCAAAGTAACATATGATAGTATATCGTACCTATTATCGATAGTACTATGATCGGATCAACCGGAGTGACGGACCAGTCTCAGGCGGACGAAAGGGGTTCTATTATAATTCACTATACAATAATACTCTACATAACTTCTTACACGATTAATTACTTATATTAAAAAAAAAAAAAAAAAAATCACTATAATTAAGTCAGCAAATAAATTAATACTTATAATATATTTTTAATTAATATTTATTTTTTTTATTAGAAATACAAAAAAAAAAAAAGGAATGGTATAACGGCCATACGGTGAATTACTCGTTAGCGAAAATTACCCTTTCGACCATTTAAAACGGGATTACAATATCAAACAAAAATAAAGGAAAATAACTGGTAACGATGACAATACCAATTAATAATATAAATACTACATTCAAAGAATGACAACAGGATTATATTTTTTTTTCTCTTTGACACACGTGAAACATGGCGTAAATATAGTAGACATTGTCGCGATACAGATTCAATTATACTTTAGAGGATAACAACTTAGTAGAATAAAAATAAAAAATGGTTAAATGGTTAACATCTTAAAAAGATAACTAAAACCTTGGGGGATATTGATGCCTTGATAAATATAATGATTAATATCGATCTATTAACTTTTTATATATTTTTTAATGCTCTAAGTAAACTAAATTCAATGTATTACATTAATACACTACATCTATTTTATATTTTTGTAAAACAACTTTTAAAGAAGATTATTAGTACTTTTATTATCTTTAAGACTATTATCATTACTGTAACATTTTTATAACTCAGAAAATAATTGTTCGAATGAATTTTTATTTATATACATCAATATTTACTAAAAAGTTATCTGCTCAACAATTGATAGTAAAATGTGTGTTTCATATTTCAAAAAAAAAAAAAAGAAACTTTATCTCCACAAAACATTTTAATAAAAAACCAAAGATTTTAAAAGTATCATCCTTAAATAAATTTCAAAGCTTCAAAAATCAGAATTTGAATATTATATTTGTTAAATGAAAAAAAAATGTAATTAAGCATGTTTAATAATTTACTCTTTGTAATTATTGATCAATCGTCTTCGTTATCTGCGTAAGATCGGACCAGTTTTTATACACCATCATGCGAACAATTCAATTTTCGTTAGTAGACCAGAGAAAGTACCTATACCAATGTTTAAACTATACTACATAATATTATATTTAAATTAACTGTAAAATAATATTTTACATGTAAATATTCGTAACATATAATATAAAATTATTTATTTACATGCGTACGAAATGAAACATCACACGTAACTATCTATAGGTGTTAAATTGGCCCTCATACTGTGCCGTGTAATAACAAAAATTATGATTAATAATTAATAAATATAAATTGACTAACAATTATTGATTGATGTTAATTTTTTTTTTTTAATTTTAATTATGACACTGATTTGAAAACGAAAACTTGATAACGCACTTCACAATTTGCGTGTCGTATAAAGTCAGTTAAATCGACATGTTTTCAATGAGTAGGCATGAATAAACAAATGTTTGACGACTGAATTCTAAGATAGGTTTAAAGATTTCAAATCTACTGAAAAACGATTTTGTCTTGCACACGTCTGTTTTTTCCAATCGACGCATGTATAGAAATTTAACATGTATCGAAATGAAACCGATTTAAAGCCATTTTGATTCAAATTTGAAAAATCAAATTCAACGAGGTTCGCGCACCTGATTATCACGTCTATAATTACCTATATACCTTCATAGATACATATATACACACGCCATACGTTTACGTCGTTCACAGTTCTCGGTAATTTTAACTTCTCGCCCTCTATGTCGATATCACGTGCTTAGTATTTTACAAATCCGAAACACTCGATTGATGGTGTTGTTTTTCAACTTCCAACTATCGAGGCCCGAGGGCGAACGTATATTTCCATCAACGCAGTATAAAGTTGCCATTTTTAAACGCGGTATAATATAACTTGTGCGATAAATAGTTTGGCTCGAGGTCGTTAAACCGCTGGTCGTAGTCAAAGCTATACACATAAGACACTGTTTTTTCGCGACCATTATACGTCAATAAGCGCGCGCACGCACGTGTGTGTTTAATTAAAAACACTAGCACCGCATACTCTATTATACAACGGTTAAGTATACAGACAAGCGTATATTTTTAACGGCAGCCGTTTAACTGCGGGGCCGTCGCACCACCCGTTATTGTGACTTTATTACACCTGGGCACCATCATCAACATCTTGTTTAATAACATAAAAAGACCAACCACCCGGATACTATGTATATAATGATATTATGTTATATATATACGCCATAATATACATATTTATACGTCTCGGTATACTCGCTACTAAGTTTAAATACTCGTCTCCCAATCCTGCTAACCACCCCTGGCCGTGGCGCACACAACCACGTTTATCGACAGCTCGCTCGCAGTAATCGCCGACGAGTGCACTATTTGGGTACACACAGTATGTATAGCAATTAATTTGCTAAAATTTTTAGAGATGTATTTATAAGAATTTTCCACCCAATGACAGATAAAAACCATTTAATGATATATATATAAAAAAATTCAAATGAAATAATTTTCATACGTCAATTTCATAGCACTATATTTTCAATTGTTTAAATATTTTATATCATTTAGCATTTGAGGAGAACGTGTCATGTGTTCTTAACAATTTTTTATTTCGATTGAAACCAACTTTTTTTCCATATAAATACTTAATCAAATGACTCATTTTACAAAAATAATCGAATTTTTTTTTTTTTTATTGAACTTAAGCCCGGCAACTAGGGCCATTAGCTGTTTGTAAGGGTTACGTTGTAGGTTGGTACGGTAGGTTGTATTTTTTATGATTGTTACGGTTGATAGCAAACACGTGTATGTGTGGCAAGGTTTTTAACCACTATGATCCTGAGTGGTCACCCATCCGGGAGCTAGTAGCTGTGGCCGTTACTTACTCTCAGTCGCATTCCGCGACTGGTAGCAGCCAACGCGCCACGCCAAGCCACTATAATCGAATTTATTTAATATAAGAACGTCATTATGCGGAATTCAAGAGTGTGTATTTGTATAATACAGACACACTAAATATTTTACAGATTTTTATTGAAATGTATTAACGATTTTTAAACGTAAGTAATGAAGTTTTAAAGATTGTAGGTTTCAGAAATTTTTAATGACAAAATAGTTAATTTTTTTTAATTTCAATTTTGATCAACTATTACTCAACCTTTTAAGTAGATATTAACTATCTTAAATTATCTTACATTTTCTTTAAAATATTGCAGACTTTATCGAATTCTATAGGTACTCAACAATGATGACTGACGTCAACATTTCAATTATATGTAAATTAAATTAACTGTATTTTTGTGAGTTATTATACTTAATTTACATTTTAGTATATTTTGTTTAGTTTCTATTATTATATTTAGCTTTTTTAATATAAAAAACTATAAAAATTCAGCAACTTCAGCAGAAGTAATACGATACACAAAATAAATTACCAATGAACACTGATTACTGACAATCAACAAGTATCTACTAAAAACATTAATTTTACACTCACACATTTTATTTTATGTAGGTCTATATACATATTATTTACATATTATTTTTAAAAGGTATTTATCAAATCTGCTTTAAGTGTTTTACCTTCGACAACAACCGTATATTATTAAATATTACTAATTAAATTAATTTACACAATACATTAATTATTCATATTTCACATTGAATTTATTATTGTTTTAGATTATATTATATTTCATAAGTATAAATAAGTGTTTTCCGAGTACTTGTTTTACTTTTTAAATCTTTCGTACTCAATCCCTATGCATTCTATGGTCCCATTTACGTTTTTATGTATTTAGAGTATAGTACCCGTAGTAAGTCATCGAAATTTTGCTGTAGAAAGTATTTTTACATTGTCGTAGGCAGGCAGGCTCAATAAAAAATAAAACCAACCTATATTCACCATCCTTCTATCACCCCTTAGACACTTTTTTTTTGTAATACTCGATTTATTCCCGAGCATTAATTGCACATTAATCCCATTCGTGTGCACACAGTTTATTCGATGACTGCAGCAGTAGTGGTTAGCTACCTATACA